CCGTGGGTCGCTTCGAGTTCTCGCGCAAGGACCTGATCGGCCACGGCGCTTTCGCGGTGGTCTTCAAGGGACGCCACCGCGAGGTGGGTGCTTGCGAAATCCCGGCGCGCACCCCAGTCCGGGGACCCTTAGCTTCGGAAACCCCGAGACCCAGCCCGGGACCCTCTTTTCCCTGGGATCCCAGCCCCTCCCTGAGAGCCCAGCCTGGGCGGCTTCCAGGACCCGCACCCTGGAATCTTACTTGGCCGGGGTAGGGGATCCGTGTGTCCGCAGCCTTGAAAGGCCACGCTTGGTTTTTCAGAAGCACGACTTGGAGGTTGCGGTCAAGTGCATTAACAAGAAGAACCTGGCCAAGTCCCAGACGCTGCTGGGGAAGGAAATCAAAATTCTCAAGGTGAGCTAGTGTCCGGAGCGGCGGGAGGGCAGGGCGCCCGCCTGTACCCGCGTGTGAGAACCTTGGTTTGTCGTCCTAGGAGCTGAAGCACGAGAACATTGTGGCGCTGTACGACTTCCAGGTGAGGCCTCTGGCGGCCGTGGGGGAGGGACCGTGTCGCCGCCTGACCCATTCCAGCCTCCAAACTGAGGGTCACGGCCATCCCATCCCAGTGTCAGCCGATGTGGAACTCGGAACCCATCGGCCCAGATTTGGACTGGCTTCCCTGGGTGTTGGGGTCCTGGGCTCTTGGCCTGCCTGGCTGAGGAGGGGAGGGGACTGGGGTGTTGTGCTGCCCTAGTGGGTGCCTCTACCCGTGTGGACCCCTTGTGTGTCTGACCCAGTGGCCAACCTGAGACTGGCGTCCCTGGCAGGCCCACCTGTCTGGCCCTTGGCTTGTTTGTTGACACTGCTCCAGCGGCCCGGCATTGGCCAGGACCTCTCTGCGTCAGACCGGGAGGGGGAGGGGCTGCCGCAGATTCCTGCTGGCAGTTGGTGCTGGGCCTGCTGGACGCTGGGCTATGCCGCATGAGGCCATCTCGGGCCTGGAGAGCCCCAGCAGGCCAGCCTGCAGCTCAGCCGGCTTCCCACGCTGTCTGCTCTGGAGGCCCAGGGCCTGTGGGGCAGGGTTGGGGCCCAGATGCCCTGCTTTGGGACCAGGAGCTGGAGGCTCAGATCTGCCTGGCAAAGTGCTGACTAATGGTCTTGAAACCTGTTTACTGGGGCCACGGGACCAGCCCTGGCTGAGGGAAGTTCCCAGCGGGTGGCTGTGTTTTGGTGGCCTCCTCCCTCCTCTGCTGTCAGTTTTGCTGTGGCCTTGGGGGCTGTGATACGTACGTCATGTGTGGGCAGGGCCAGGTCTAGTGTGACAGGGAGTACCTGGAAACTGCCAGAGACATTGTGTTCTGGGGCCAGCAGGCATGTGCTCCACCCTCCCCACTTGCCTTCTTGCTCTGTCCTGCTGTCCTGTCCCAATCCTCTGCTTTCCCCTGCCCCAATCTTCCTCTTCCCTTGCTTTTCGTCTGAAGCCTCCAGTGGGGCCCAGGCCAGGAGGACAGCTGGTGGTGTGCCCAGCCTCTCCAGGTGGGCCCAGAGAAGGGCAGATGGTGGGCTGGGCTCCAGGTGACTGTCCCCCTAGTGTCTACTGTCCAGCTGGAGAGACACCTGACTCTGGGCACTGCCACTTCCTCCAGTGTTGGCAACACTGTGGCTTCCTCCGCCCAGAGGAAGTGCTGAGAAGTGTCAGCCACAGCCTCTTCTGTGCTCTGGGTCCTGCTCTCACCCCAGGGTGTGTGGAACTCTCCTTCTGTACCCTTAAACTTTTGCTTGGGACAAACACCAGGCCAAAAGAGAATTTGCTTTGTATGTTCATTTATTTGTCCTTGGCATTTTGGGACAGGGTCTCACTGTATAGCTTAGTCTATCCTTAAATTCAATGTGTAAGCCAGACTGGCCTTTGAACTGTGTGCCCCCACTGCCCAGTGATTTGAATTTTTTTTTGTTACCGGGGATCGAACTCAGGGCTTTTGAGGCAGGAGCAGCAACAATGAGCTATAGCCCCAGCTCTGGAGTGTTTTTTTTTTTTTTTTTTTTTTTTTTTTTTTTGAGACAGGGTCTCACTATATAGTCCAGGCTGGCCTATACCTTACTGTATACCCACTTTGGCCTTAAACTTGTGGTAGTCAGCAGTCCTCCTGCCTTTGCCTCCAGAGTGCTGGGATTACAGTAGGCTCAAATTTTTTTTGGTACCTGGGATCAAACTTGGGATCTTGTGCTTGCAAGGCAGGTGGTGGCACCACTGAGCTAAATCCCTGGCCCTGGCCGGATTTGTGTTTAAAAATAGGTGAACTGGGTGTGGTGACCTATGCTTTTGATCCCAACACTTGTGGAGGCTGAGGCAGGAGGATCATCATGAGTTCAAGGTCAGCCTGAACTCTTAGTAAAACCTCTCAAAAAAAAAAAAACCTAGGTAATAAATGATGGGGCAAGGATGCCCCCAAATTAATAGAAAGAGACCCAAAGTCACAGTTAATCCTTGTCCCAATGGAATGCCACTGTCCTCTGTCCTCAGACCCCCTGCATATTTGATCTGGGGACTGCCATTGCTACAGCCAGATGTGCGTCCTTCCCTGCCAACACCTCCTGTACTCATGTGGCTTTGTTCATTTGAATGTGTGACTGCCATCCCATTTCTCACCCCAGCCCCTGTGGTCCAATGCAGACCCAGTGGTTCAGAACCAGGCTCCAGGAGGCTCTGCCATGCATTTGGCCTGTGGCTGGGTGACAGCGCACTCTGATTATGGGGGCTCTGGTGGCTGTGTCTGTCATTCATGGCCTCTGGTATCTGCAGCTTCGCCTGCAGTGGCTGCTGAGGGGCAGGGGCTGCTCTGGGACTCTGCAGCATTAGGACAAGTCTGCATGTCCTTGGTCTGAGGGTGGGTTTCTTGAAGTCCTCTTGGTGCCTATGCCTTGGTTGTGTTTTGGTGACTATGGCCAGGGTTGCCCTCCAGAGCCCATGCCGGTGGTCTCGGCAGTACTGGCTCTTTCAGTCACCTGGGAGGCTTGGCCATAGGCCCTTCCTTGGCCCCTGTTTTCTTGGCCAGCTGTGCTGAGGACTTGAACTCTGTGTTCTGTCTCAGAACTGTGCTGTGTAAATGTGGTGACAGTGGGCTGTGAGGCTCCTTGAATACTGAGTAAAGGAGTATCTCGTGATAGGGTGTATCTAGGTATCCAGGGGTGCTTTCTTTTCTGTGGAGGTTTTTTGTTGTTTTTTACCGGGGATCAAACTCAGGAAATTGCTCTTGCAAGGCAGGCGTGGTGCCACTGATCTAAATCCCTAGCTCTATTTGTTTTTTGTTTGTTTGCTTTTTTGAGGCAGTGTCTCACTATGTAGTTCAGACTGACCTGGAACTGACTATGTAGCCCAGGCTGGTCTCAGACTCACATCGATCCTCCTGCCTCAGCCTCCCAATTACTAGGATCACAGGTGTGCGCCACCATGCCCAGCCTATTTTTGTTCTTATGTTTTTTGTTTCGTTTGTACCAGGGATCAAACTTGGGTCCTTGGCACCAGCAAGCGGCGGAACCACTGAGCCAAATCTCCAAATTGTGTTGGTTTGTTTGTCTTCTCAATGCTGAGGATCAAACTTGGCCTTGTGCATGCCCAATTCCAGCCCTCCTGCCCTCTTCTGATCCTCCAGGCCTGTGGGGAGGCAGCTGGAGCATTGAGATGGGGTGCGCTGCCGCCCCCAGAAGAGGGGTGACAAGGCCAGTACGCTGCAGCCAGGTGCCTTGCTGGCAAGTGGTGACCCAGGTCCTGTAGACAGACCCAGTCCCCGGTGTTGCCTGGAGCTGAGGCCTGAATCCTGGGCAGTATGCCCTTCCCAGATAGCATGCAGGGGTGGCGGGCCCTGGAAGTAGGGTCAGGGTGCAGGTGCAGGTCCCCCTCACATTGGAGTGTGCACACTGAGGGCTGTGTTTATGGGCCACGAACGGTAAGCGCCTCATGAGTCTATTGGATAAAGTAACAGTGGAGAGAATGATGATCTTGGTGAGGCTGCTGGCAAAGCAGGCACCTGTGAGAGAGCCTCTGCCTTCTCCCCTGTGGAGCTCCTTCTTCTGCTTCCCTATCCTCCCTCTGAGCCTAGCTGTGCCAGCTGCTGAGCTGGCCTTGGTGCGGCCTACAGGTGGGCCCGCAGCCTCATCTGGTAGTATTGTCTGTTGACCGCAGTGGCCTGTGCTGGCCCTACAAAGGCCTGGTGTGCATGCCTGTGTCTGGCTGAGGGGCATCCTGCCTTCCTCCTGGGCAGGCCCCTCCCTTCCCTCTGGGAGCAGCTAGAGTGTGGGGTGGGGTGGCTGTGTCCCCACTGCTGCTGAGTGAAATAGGTCACACCTTCCTGCCCACCCGCCCGGGCCATCCTGAATTGCCAGACCAATTGGGCGGGGGAGGGTGGGGAGCTTGGATCCTATTAAGCAACGCACCTGAAGGCCTGGGGCAGGCAGCTCCTACGTGCCCAGGCACCTGTGCTCATGTGGATGCCCTGTGCAGCTGTCCTGCCAGGAAGCTGGCCTCTGCCTGGCGTGGGTCTCGCGGAGGTGGCAACCCAATCTGAGGTGGCACTTGTGTTGTCTCTCTCAAGGGCTTTGTTGTCAATGAGCCTCGGTGCATACTGGAGGGGTTCACTGTCCCAGCTAGGCAGGCGCTGGTCTGTGTCCCAGGCCCTTGGAGGGGCAGAGTGTGGTTTGACTCCGCCAGCAGCCCCTGTGTCTTTACAGGCAGAGCCAGGAGCTGGCACCAGTGCCTGTGTGAGGAGCGTGCCTGGGTGGCCACGAGGACCCTAGAAGTGGCACCTGCTCCTGGTGCCCTGCTGGCTCTGGGGGCTGACTTCACCTCCTGCCACCCTCCTGGTAGCACTGCAGCCCAGGCAGCCCTCATCGGCTTGTTTCTGGCATTGAGCCTGAGGAGGGTGTGAGCTGGCCTGCCCGGTCTGGCCTTGCCACTTCCCAGCTGGGCAAGTCGCCTGGGCTCCACAGGGCTGTGATCTTCAAGAGGTGGGTGCTGGGTCTGGAGCCAGGGCCCTGCATTGTCAGAGTTGGGGGCTCTTCAGTGCCCTCTCCTGGATTTAGAGGATGCAGAAGGCTGCCTCTGGGGAGGAGATGGACCCTGAAGTCCTATGCCAGTGGATTAGGGAGGGAGCGCACCTGGCTGCAGCTGTGTCCTCAGTCTTGCCTCTGGCCAGAACCCAAGAGCGGCTCATGTCCCACCCTGTACTCTCTGCCATCTCTGTCCCATTACAAGTGGCCACTGCTGGCAAGTCCTGGAGGTGCCGTGCTGGGGCCGCCCTGAGGCTGTGGGGGGCAGAAATAGTGCTGCTACCCCTGAAGGTGTTTTTGGGTCCTGTCTGTCACTTCTTGGCCTTGGGTTGTCTCCTGGATCTGAGTTTTCTGTCTCTAGTCTCTGATCTTCTGTCCTGGTGTCTGTCCCACATCCTGGTCCCTGACCCTCAGCTCCACCCCAGGGACTCCCTCGCCAAGCACACCTGCAGTTATCTCTCCCCTCCAGCTTGCCTGGAATGTCAGGTTGGGGTGGGACCAGGCACAGGGGAGGTCAGGCAAGGACAAACGGGGAGGGGGACTGGGTGGGGTAGATCAGAGCTTTCTTCTGGGAATGTTCCTGCCTATAGGCTGAGATCTGTGCCCTGTCTTTAGCCTCCTGGGGTTGGGTGCTAAGCACTGGGGCCTGGCAAAGCAGGGGCAGGGTAGCTTGTACCTGGGGCTAGCAGGTGGCTGCTGGCTGCTGGGTCTCTGGTGTGTGTGCTTGAGCTGCGTGTACCTGGCCCTGCAGGCCTTTGAGATGCCCTGCTCCCCTCCAGGCACCAGACCCACCTTGAGCTTGGGGTGCCTGAGCTCAGCCCCTCTGCCCTGCCTTGGAGTGTGGCACAGCAGAGTGGAGGTGGTGCAAGCAGGGTATGGATCCCTGAGCTCCCTGCATGGGCCTTGTAGTCACAGGGTATAGGGCTTGCTGTTGTTGGCAGAGCCGCCCCTATGGGTGGGAAGACACTGCCTGCACAGGGACTTGCAAGGTGGCCAGGCCCAGCCTGTCTGGCTCGTCTGGCCTGGGCCTCAGTGGCCTCCATAACATCCCAGGAGTGAGTGTTGGCGCTGTGCTTCTGCCCAGGGTCAGGGTGCTGTGGAGGGCTCAGCTCAGCCTGGTGTGTGCTGCCCAAGGGCGGCCAGGAGCAGAGCAAGGATGGGCGCCCTGGTGCTGACTCAGCCTGGAAGCACCAACCCCTAATCTGGTGGCGTCGCTGATTCTGGGGGCCGGGAGCTTCTGAGGTCACAGCCCAGCTCCTCCCTGGCTGGACTGCATACCTGCTGGTACCCTGTGGCTGGGAGTCACCATGCGTAGGATGCAACGCTGAGTATGGAGACCTCGGGCTAAGGGACCCCTGACTACAGTCCCCTGGCTTCTGTGCAGGCTGCTGCTCAGTCACTCAAGCCCCATGTTTCTCTTTCTTTTTTTTTTTTCTGTAGTATGGCTTGCATCCAGGGCCGCCTTTACACTGAGCTATGTTTCCAGCCCTTTTTTTATTAGGTTGCTCAGTTGCCCATGCTGGGTTCAGATTTTGAGATCCTGCCTTAATCTGCAGAGTGCTGGGATTACAGGTGTGGACCAGCACACCCAGCCTGGGCCCACCTTTCAGTTGAAGTGGCCTGGCCACAAGACATGACAGTTGCCCACCTCCAAAGTTGGCTGTGGAAGTCCTTCCTCTGGTGGTGACTGGCTGAGTCCTGGGCCTTGCACGGCTGCTGTGCCCAAGTCCCTGGAGGTGTGTGGGGGTGTCCCAAGATGACCCTTGCTGTATCCCTTATGGCCTCTCTCTGTTCTGCAGGAAATGGCCAATTCTGTCTACTTGGTCATGGAGGTGAGCCCTGGGACCCTAGCAGCAGAGGCTGTGGTTTAGGGAGGGCTTGGAGGGGTTGGGGCTGGCACTGGCTGTGCCCTAATGTGTGTCCTTTCTCCTTCAGTACTGCAATGGCGGTGACCTAGCCGACTACCTGCACAGTGAGTGGATAACTTAGCGGGCAGCATGGTAGCCAGGAGGGCTTGCTGAAGTGGCCCTTGCTGGCCTGGGGCATGGGGTCTGTCTCTTGGTGCCCTGAGGTATATGGGAGGCCCTCTACCACGTTGGGTGCTGCTCACTACCTACCCACTGCAGGACTTTGCTGGAAAGATGGCTGTGAGCTTTATCAGGGCTCTAAGGCACGGTGAGGACGTAGAGTAGGTAGTGAGGATAGGCACACAGGTGGCCACGGGGAGGAGGCCAGGGCACTCCACCTGGAAATAGGAAGACAGCAAGCGGGGTGGCAGGTGGTGCTGCAGGACCTGTGGGATGTCTGGGGGGCAGGCAGAGAGTTGGAGAGGCTCTGGCCTGCACACTTGAAGGTAGGTGTCAGCATTTGCCCTGGTGCTCGGCCGTGACAGCAGAGCACCTGGACCCACCTCCCAGGTTAGGGTTCCCATACCTGACTTTGCAAGGAACCAGGTGGCTTCTCTGCTCTAAGGGTGCCTCCCTCTGCTGGGGGTGCTGGGCCTTCAGGGCCGCAGGAGAGGAAGCAGGTCCCCAAGAGGGCGCTGCCATCCCTGCGGGCTGTGACAGGCACCCCTGAGCCTGCCTTTCTTGTAGCCATGCGGACCCTGAGCGAGGACACCATCAGGCTCTTCCTGCAGCAGATCGCTGGCGCCATGCGCCTGCTGCACAGCAAAGGCATCATTCACCGTGACCTGAAGCCACAGAATATCCTGCTGTCCAATCCCGGGGGGCGCCGTTCGAACCCCAACAATATCCGTGTCAAGATCGGTGAGCCCCTGGGTGGTAGCCCTGCTGCAGGGACCCAGCTGTGCTGTCCCGGTCGCTGCTCTCACCCATCTCTCTCCACAGCGGACTTCGGGTTCGCCCGCTACCTGCAGAGCAACATGATGGCGGCCACGCTGTGCGGCTCCCCCATGTACATGGTACGTCCCTGGTCCGGGCCACAGTGCTCCAGCTTGGTTCCATGCCATCTCCCCAACCTGTCCTCTGGCCTGCAGGCCCCTGAGGTGATCATGTCACAGCACTACGATGGGAAGGCAGACCTGTGGAGCATTGGCACCATCGTCTACCAGTGCCTGACGGGGAAGGCCCCGTTTCAGGTGGGCAAGGCCCGCGGCCTAGAGCGGGAGCGCATGGGCTGCAGGGGTCAGTCAGGTTGTTGGCACTGGGCTGGGTGTGAGCTGTGGCCTGTCTCCTGTAGGCACCCAGTGAGAGGGGCCCAAGGGGCACCAAACCCTGTGGTGCACCTACTCCCCCTCAGAGTTGTCTTCATGGCCCCACGGTAGGTGCCCAGGTATCTGAGCTCCCCCTCCCAGCAGCAAGGGAGTGGACACTTGGTGCCTGTGGCCTGGTGGGGCTGGCCAGGTTCTGTGGCCCCAAGACCCAACCGCATGGGTCCTGAGTGCTAGGCTGTGGCAGGGGCAGGGCTGCCTGGGGCCGGGCTCACACCACTGTCCCCACACACAGGCCAGCAGCCCTCAGGACCTGCGACTGTTCTACGAGAAAAATAAGACGTTGGTCCCTGCGTAAGCATCCCTTCCCTCAGGTGTCCCCCCGTTGCCCCTGCCTTGGCTACCCCAGCCCTGTCAGCTCATCCCTCTGCCCTCCTAGCATCCCCCGAGAGACCTCGGCACCCCTGCGGCAGCTGCTCCTGGCGCTGCTGCAGCGCAACCATAAAGACCGCATGGACTTTGGTGAGTACCATGGCCTGGCCATGCCCCCTCAGGTCTGTGGGTGAGCTGGGGGTCCCCAGATGCGTAGCCCCCTTTCCCAGCTCAGGTGGGTCAGGCTGGATGAGATGGGTCCCTGGGCCAGGTCTCGCGCGTCTCTGAGGCCTTACTTTCTCCCACAGATGAGTTTTTCCACCACCCTTTCCTGGACGCCAGTGCCTCCCTCAAGAAGTGTGAGTTCCAGGCTAGAGGGGCTGTTGCTTGCAGCCTGTTGGTTGGGCCTCATGCTGGGTGGGGTGGCCACGGTGCAGAGGTTTGGGGTGGAGGCTGGAGGTCTATGCAGGCTGGTGCCACCTCTTGCTGGCTGCTAGCTCTGTCCCCATGGTGACAGCTGGCAGGGCCACTGAGGGTTGGTACAGGTCTTCGCTTATGCTGCTCCAGGTCAGGGCACAGGGAGCCATACTGTGGGGGCTGTGCTCCAGTGCACCTGCTCCTGGGAACAGCTGTCTCAGGTGGCTTCCTGCAGCTGCTGTCCCCTCAGACTGCCCTTGCCTCCCCACAGCCCCGCCCATGCCTGTGCCCTTGTACCCGAGCTCAGGGTCTGGCAGCAGCTCCAGCAGCAGCTCCACCTCGCATCTGGCCTCCCCTCCGGTGAGTGGCCAGGCCTGTCGGTGGCACTGCTGGAGTCTGGGCCTCCCTTGGGAGATGTGGACCTCAATGCCCTCAGGTTGGGGTGGTTGTCCTGTCTGTGGGATCCCGTGATCTGTCTGTCCTCATGAGCACTGGGCTCTCCTTGCCCTCAGTCCCTGGGGGAGATGGCTCCGATGCAGAAGACACTGACCTCCCCAGCTGACGCTGCTGGCTTCCTGCATGGCTCCCGGGACTCGGGTGGCAGCAGCAAGGACTCCTGCGACACAGACGACTTCGTCATGGTCCCTGCTCAGTTCCCAGGTCAGGGCGGTGACACATGTGGCAGGCTGCAGATGGCTTGTGCTTGTGGCTAGGCACAGGCAGGCAGGGTCACCACAGGCTGCCCCGCTCCCTGGCTGTGGCCCCTGCCCTATCCTGCTGTCGTCAAAGCCCTGATACAGCCTGGTCTGCAGTCTGGCCCTGCCACAGCTCCAGGCTGGCAGGAAGACAGCCAGCGACAGGGTGGACCCATGATGGGTAGGAGCCAGGCTGGCCTCTCTGCCACTCTGGAGCTGGTGAGGGGAGAGCTGGGCCCTGCATGTGCTACTGTGCACTGCCCCAGAGGCACCAAGCACTAGCGGCCTCTGCTGTTCGGGAGCCTCCTCTGGGAGAAGGAAGTGGACCTCAGCTCAAGCTCTGTAGCCAGGTGGGCTCCAGAGGGTGGTGGACACCCGCCAGACTTGCTCTGTCCCTGCAGGTGACCTGATGGCTGAGGCAGCCAGTGCCAAGCCCCCATCAGACAGTCTACTCTGCAGTGGGTGAGCACCCACCCTCTTGGGAGGGAACAGGGCCTTTGGGGTGGCTGGTGTCCCCTGCCCCCACCTGGGGAGGTGGCTAGGACGGGGTGGTACCCGATGTCACATCTGTCCCTTCTGTCCTGCAGGAGCTCGCTGATGGCCTCTGCGGGGCTGGAGAGCCACGGCCGGACCCCATCTTCCTCCCCGTCCTGCAGTAATTCACCCAGCCCATCTGGGTGAGCAGGGTGGGCATGTGGGAGTCCTGGGTGCAGCCATCCTGCCTAGCAGTGCTGGTTTGGCCAGAGGCCCTCTCCTCATGCAGACATGGGTGGCCCCACATGACCCTGCCTGACTCCTGGTTTGGGGAGCAGACACATGGGGTGGGTGTGGATAGAATGGGCTCTGGGTGCCTCTGCCCTGCGGCATCCCTGTGAGCCCCCATCTTTCTGCAGCCGGGCTGGCACCTTCTCCAGCAGCAGGTATGGCGCCTCGGTCCCCATCCCTGTCCCCACTCAGGTGCACAACTACCAGCGCATTGAGCAGAACCTGCAATCCCCCACCCAGCACCACACACCTCGGTGAGTGTTCCTGGCATGGCACAGCCAGCCCTCTTCCTGCCCAGCACCCCATGGCCCTCACCACATGTGGCATAGGTGCTGGGGCCTCACTGCCTGCCCTGTCCCCAGGTCCTTTGCCAGCCGCAGGTCCGGTGGCACCAGCCCCCTGGGCTTTGCCCGGGCGAGCCCGTCACCCCCGTCCCATGCTGATGGCGCTGTCCTGGCCAGGAAGTTGTCTCTGGGCGGAGGCCGGCCCTACACACCATCCCCACAGGGTGCGTGCAGCCTTGGGCCTGGAGGGTGGGAGGGCACAGCGACCCTGTATCTGCCTGCTCTGATCCTGGAACCTCCTCCCCAAGTCGGAGCCATTCCTGAGCGGCCCAGTTGGAGCCGGGCACCCTCCCCACAGGGAGCGGAGGTGTGGACTGGCAGGTTACCACGGCCAGGTAGGCACAGCGGGGAGGGGAAAGGGCTCCTAGAGCCCCCAAGACCCTGGCAGTGCGGTGTGGTGGTCAGTTGTCCCTGTTTCTCTGCCTGGAAGCCTAGTAATCATCCTGGCCTATTCCCAGGCTCCTCCGTGCCCGAGCATTCCCCCCGAACTCCTGGGCTAGGCTGCCGTCTGCACAGCGCCCCCAACCTGTCGGACCTGCACATCGTGCGTCCTAAGCTGCCCAAACCCCCAACAGACCCTCTGGGAGCCGCCTTCAGCCCCCCGCAACCCAGCCCATCCCCACCTGCCCCTGTGCTGCAGTCCTGCCGGCCCCTGCGAGGCTCACCCAAGCTTCCTGACTTCTTACAGCGGAACCCCCTGCCCCCTATCCTGGGCTCCCCTACCAAGGTAACACTTGGCCCAGCCTCCCAGCTCCTGGGAGCCCTGAGTGCTAGAGGGAGACCAGATCCCTGCCCTCTGTCTCCTTACTGGACCTCCAGGCATGACCGCATCCTGGGAGTCCCTGTGTGTGGCCCTGGGCAGGAGGTCTGGGGCACAGGGTCCAGGACAGGACCCATGGCTGATCCTCTCCATGCAGAGGTCCTCAGGCCACCAGTTTTGAGGGAACCTGAACCCGCTCTGTGGTGCTGGTGTGGGACTGGCCATTCCTTCCCAAGGTTGTGGGCTAGGCTGGGTGCAGAAGTCCACCTTGGAAGCCAGGCTGCCACCCAGGGCATAGCCCTCTTTCCCTGTCCACAGAGGCTGTGCCCCCTGTCCTGGTATGAGGACCTTGGCATGCATGTGGGTTATGGCAGGCTGGGTGTCACGTGCTGTCCTCCCTTCCAGGCCATGCCCTCCTTCGACTTCCCCAAGGTCCCCAGCTCCCAGAACCTTTTGGCTCTGCTGGCCAGGCAGGGCATGGTGGTAACACCCCCCCGGAACCGGACACTGCCTGACCTCTCGGAGGTGGGCCCTTTCCAGGGACAGCAGCTGGGCTCTGGCCTGCGGCCAGCCGAGGATGCCAAGGGCCCCTTTGGCCGGTGAGTGGGACAGACGGGAGGCACACACTGGGCCTTGTTCTGCACCATCCATGGTTCTGGGGAGCCTGGCCTGCAGCAGGCTGGCCTGGTGCTTCTCATGATGAATTGAAATGGGGTGTCAGCTTGTTGGGGAGCCCAGGCCCAGCGTCTGAAGTGCCACCCACCTCTGTAGATCCTTCAGCACCAGCCGCCTCACTGACTTGCTCCTCAAGGCTGCATTTGGGACACAGGCCTCAGACTCTGGCAGCACCGATAGCCTGCAGGAAAAGCCCATGGAGATCGGTGCGCCAGGGCTGGCTGGAGTGGTTGTAGGGTGTGGCCTGAGCACACCCTGACCCTGACCCCCTTCCCTCTTGTCTCCCAGCACCCTCTGCTGGCATTGGAGGGAACTTGCACCCCGGAGCCCGTGCTGGGGGCGCCAGCAGCCCAGCCCCTGTGGTGTTCACTGTGGGCTCACCCCCCAGTGGGACAACACCGCCGCCAGGGCCCAGGGGCAGGATGTTCTCAGGTGAGGCTGGGCTGGGCCACAGCTGCTCTCTGGGATCAGCAGGGGGAGGCCCCGCTCAGTGCCAGTGCAGTTGGGTGTCTCCAGGATGTAGGCCCCCGTCCAGGGCACCAGCCTCTCTGTCCTACTGTCTGAAAGGCAGTGTTGTGTTGGCTGGGCCCTGGCTTGAGCTCAGTGAAGGTGGTGTGGAACCAGCCTCTCCTATGTCCAGCCTCTCCTATGTCCTGGGTCCCAAGGCTCCAGCCCTTCTGGCCTTGCTGGGATGTAAACTGAGGCATGCGTGAGCCTTGGTGTGGAGTCAAGTGGGCAGGGATCCAGGGCAGGGAGGGGTGTGGGCACTATCCCTCAGCTGTGCCTCCCACAGTGGGTTCCTCGGGCTCTCTGGGCTCTGCTGGTTCCTCTTCTGCCCGCCACCTGGTGCCTGGGCCCTGTGGCGAGGCTGCCCCTGAGCTCACCACTCCAGGCCACTGCTGCAGTGCTGGCGAACCCCTGGCCGCCCACCTGGAGGGGGCTGTGACCTTTGAGGCCCCTGACCTCCCCGAGGAGACCCTTATGGAGGTGAGTCCTTGTCTGGGGAGCTGCTTGGGAGCTGCCTGCCCGCTCACCTGCCACCTATCACAAGCCCTGCCTCTGCACCCCCCAGCAAGAGCACACGGAGATTCTGCATAGCCTGCGCTTCACGCTGGCCTTCGTGCAACATGTACTGGAGATCGCAGCCCTGAAGGGCAGCACCAGTGAGGTGGCCGTGGGCCCCGAGTACCAGCTGCAGGAGAGTGTGGTGGCCGACCAGATCAGCTTGCTGAGCCGCGAGTGGGGGTACTTGTCCCCAGGGCTTGGGGAGTGGGGGTGGGCAGGTGCTGCCCACCATTTACCTCTCCTCCCTGCAGCTTCGCGGAGCAGCTGGTGCTGTACCTCAAGGTGGCCGAGCTTCTGTCTTCTGGCCTGCAGACAGCCATTGACCAGATCCGGGCAGGCAAGCTGTGTCTGTCATCCACCGTGAAGCAGGGTGAGGGCAGGCAGAGGAGCTGCAGGGTGTGGGTATGGGTCACCCCAGTGGGCTGCAGAGAGCTGGCATGTGGGGAAGGCGGGCCACAGACCCAGCCCCCAGCTGTGGCTCCCTGAGCCCCCTCCAGCCCAGAAAGGCTGGGCGCTGACTGAGCCACACACACACACACACACACACCCCCCGCAGTGGTGCGCAAGCTGAATGAGCTATACAAGGCCAGCGTGGTGTCCTGCCAGGGCCTGAGCTTGAGGCTGCAGCGCTTCTTCCTGGACAAGCAGCGGCTGCTGGACGGCATCCACGGCGTCACCGCTGAGAGGCTCATCCTCAGCCACGCGGTGCAGATGGTATGGGGGTGGGAGCCCAGGCAGACTCCATTTCCCCGACAAAAATGAGACCCGGCCTGGACCAATCTGGCCCAGAGACTGTCACATCCAGCAGCAGGTGACAGTGTAAACCAGGTCCGGGGTGGGTGGCGCCGTGGGGCCTGCCCCATGTGCCTGCCTGACATCAGAGCTACTCAGCATCCCCACCCAATGGGGTTCTGCCCTCCTGCCTGTGCCCTGCTGGGACAGTGGTCCTGGTGTCTCAGGTGCACGAGCGCCATGGTGCCACCTAGGGCTGCCCATTGCGGCTGTCAGCCCTTCGCCCGGGCCCAGTTCTGCCCTTGCCTGCAGGTGCAGTCAGCCGCCCTGGACGAGATGTTCCAGCACCATGAGGGCTGTGTGCCACGCTACCACAAGGCCCTGCTGCTCCTCGAGGGGCTACAGCACATGCTGTCAGACCAGGCTGACATTGAGAACATTGCCAAGTGTGAGTGTGCTGGCGGGGATGGGGACAGGGCCACTGTGCTCCTCCTGGCTCACACCCCCCTTCCTGCAGGCAAGCTGTGCATCGAACGGAGACTCTCGGCGCTGCTCTCTGGGGTCTGTGCCTGACCCGCTGCTGGCAAGCCCCGTGGGGGCTTAGCGTGCTGCTACACTGCCACTGGCCTGCTAGCCTCGGCATGGATCTGTGGTGCTGAGCTGCTGCCTGGACCCTGGAGGGGACACAGTGGGCCGATGGCCCGAGCCCACAACGGCATGGCTCCCACACCCCAGCCCACTGGTCTGCCATGGGCTACAGTGCCCTGGTTACTTCCCACCTGCACTGGTACTAGGAGATGGTGGGCAGGTGTGTTTGGGCACCACCACCCTCGAGCTCAGGCGGGGCTGAGACAGTGTTGCTGACTCTAAGCCAAAGCGAACTCTTCCTTCTGGGTCACTGCCCCATGGGACCCAAGAAAGAGCAGGGCCCTCTGTCTCCTGCCCTCTAGGAACCTGTGCCCCAGACCCCTGTCCAGCTTTGTAAATCACCAAGCACTTTATGCAGATGGATGGATGAGAACCCTGCCTCAGTGCTGTCAGCACCAGCACTGGTGCCAGGGACCGTCTCTTGCTCAGTTGTACATATGCATATACATGTGTGTGCTGATACCTGGCTCCGTGGGCGTGTGCACACCTCGGGGCACCAGAGCAGCTCTGCCCACAGAAGCAGCGGCCTTGTATTTAATGTTTTCTTAGGGACAATGAAACACTGAGCTTTCTAGACCCAGACCAGATGTAACTTTTCACACTTTACCCCTAAAATGTGTCTTATTTTTCTGCAGCTCATTTTTTCTTTAAAGAAGAAAACTAGGTGTTTCATCTTGTTTGGGAATTGTGGGATGACTGGGGTGGGCCTGGATTCTGCTGTGCGTGCTAGATGGTGGCTGTGTGTGCAAGGCCACCTGCCAGTGCACGCATGCATGAGTGTCCAGGTGGTTGGCTGTCCCCATGCCCTGTGGGATGGGCAATGCCCAGCCTCCATCCCCAGCTGGATACAGTAGGCAGGTTGGGGTGGGTTTTCTGTGCAGCGCAGGGGTGGGGGAAGCAAGATGCAGAATCCATTGGGACTTCCCATTTTTGTGCCCATGCCCACCAGGGCCACATAGCCCATTTTCCAGGGTGGGCATGTGCTGGACACCTCGGCTCCAAGGCGTGGTGCAGCTCAGCTCAGCCCAAACCTACCTGAGTGTCTCCCTGAGCTCCTGGAGTGGGCATGGGGGTCTGCAGTGCCCATGAGGGCTCAGAGGACACACAGAGAACACATTTTTCTTGCTATACTTGAAATAGTGCCACTGTGCTGGGACATGGAACTGAGTCCCCCAATGGTCTCCCATCTTGTTGCCCTCAACTCCCTGTGCTACATGTGACGCGTTAGTATTTATTGCTTCGCAGCCAGCTGGAACCTGGCCATTGGGGAGGCTTTGCTGGAGGCGCCTCTTCCGCCCCTTCCTGGTGGCCTCCCAGGGGCTGGCGTGTGTGTGGCAGGCTGTGTGTGCTGTGAGCAGCTCCTGTTCCTGAGGTACAGCTTGGCTGTGTCTGTTAAATACATTCTTTGTGAGTCCCCATCCTGTCACATTGTGTAACTTGGGAATAAACCTTTGGAATATTTGACTGTGTCACTGGTTGGGTTGGCCTGCCCCCGACTTTTGAGTCCTTTCCGGTGGCCCCATCAGCAGTGAGGAGCCCTGGGACCTCTGTGGAGAGCAGCAGCTGGGGCTGTTCAGGGACAGACAGATGGGGGTTCATTCCTGTGCTCTGTCTAGCCCAGCAGAAGATGGTGCCTCCACGTTGAGGGCAGAGAGGACCCTCAGAGGGCGACAGGTGGAAGGGCTGTGGCAGTGCCTGAGGCCGTCAGAGACACCTGCCTCAGAATTTCCCTCTGCCTGAGGACTGAACTCAAGACCTCTAACAGCTTGAACCTGGCATTCTCCTGCCTCACCTGTGCCCCAGTGTGCTAGCTCCCTTTTCTTGACAATGCTGGGAGGGGTTGTGGGGTCCTGAGAACTCTGTGTCCCTCACAAGGTGCCCACCCACTGACAGGGTGCATGCTCTGCTCTGGCAGCAGACACTTTAAGGTGTGACTTTCCTGAGGGCTTCCAGGTCTCCAGTCTGTTGCCTGATTTCAAATCCCCTGGCCCAAAGGCTCCCCTGCCTCTGCTTTAGGAGTAGCTGGGGCAGTAGGCACTGCCATGAGCTCCCTGCTTGACTTAATCCTTTGATTCTCAGCAACAAGTAGTCCTGTGGTTATTTCCTTTGCCTGTTTTTGGATTGTGTTTGCCTTTTTATGGGGCGGGTAATGGGGACAGCCCAGTGCTTTCTTTTATTATTTTGAGACAGGGTCAATAAGTTGCCAGTTGCCCAGGCTGGGCTGGAAATTTCAATCCTCTTGTCTCAGCCTCCCAGAATGCTGAGATGATAGGCTTGTGCTACCACAACCCAGCTGTTTGCATTTTTATTGCACTTCAGGGGTTGTATTTTTATCTTGTTTTGTTATTGGGGATTGAATTTAGGACCTTGCACTTGCAAGGCAGGTGTAGTGCCACTGAGCTAAAACCCTGGCCCCTGTTTTGATTTTTTGAGATGGTCTTGCAGTGTAGCCTAGGCTGGTCTTTTCTGTTTGTTTTGGTGCTGTGGATCGAACTCAGGATCTCGTGCTTGCAAGGCAGGCGGAACAACTGAGCTAAATCCCCAAGGCTGGCCTTACACTCATGTAGCCCAGGCTGGCTTTGAACTCCTGGCAGATCTCCTGCCTCAGCCTCCCAAGTTCTAGGATTATAGGCATGCACTACCATGCCCAGGTAGGACCCATGTTTTTTGTTTTGGTACGGGGATCGAACTTGGGACCTTGTGCTTGTGAAGCAGGCGGCACAACCACTGAGCTAAATCCGGCCCAGGATTCATGTTTTTAGAAGATAAAAATGTATTAAATTACCAAAAAGGCCAACCACAGTATTAAAAATGAAAGTTCACACAGAGGAGAGAACTTGAGAGTCTTCCTGGAAGGTCTTGGCTCCAAACTCAGTCCCCACAGTACACCCATGTATCTCCTGGCAGCTGCCCTTGCTGGGAAGGCTGAGCCCCCTGTGCATGGCACTTTGAGTGCTGCCTTAGTGGATTGTTTTTTACAGCACTCTTAGGTTTACAGAACTGAGCCAGAAGTAGAGAACTCTGGCTTGCCTCCTCACCTCCCAATGGCCCATCGCTAATGGGTGGATCCTGTGGTGCAATGGCATTGTCTCATGGCTCATGCCAGGGCTCCTGCTGGGGGTTGCACAATCACCCTGTGGTGTGTGGTGACGTGTGTGCTACCTGTTCACTTCCTACACCACCACAGCTGTGGTGGCTCACTGGTTCCAAACAACAGTCAGGAACCCAGTCCTTTGGGTATCTGCTCATTCCTGGGTGTCCCAGAGAGGCAGAACTCAGGCAGGTGGGCCAGCCTGTCCTCTGATTCCCATGTGCCTTAGTTTACCCTCAGTGGGACGGGTGAGCCGCAGTGCCCCCCATGGCCTGTGGCAGCAAGCTGGCAGGGTGTCTAGGTATTCTTTCATCCCTTACCCAACAGGCCCAACACCTGGCCCCTGTGACCTGCTGGGTGCTTAGGGTTTGACGCCAAACTGGAGGTGTCATAAGGCCAGGTCCTGCCAGGAATTCCTAGCCTGGAATTGTCCCTGTGCCTGGCATTTGCTGGCCCACGTGACTGGGCTGGGGAAGTGCATTGACTTCTCCCTGAAAGTCACATGTGGCAACTGGCTGAGACCTGCTGAGCTTCCGGTGGTGTGTGCACACTGAAAGGCAGAGAGGCTCTCTGAGGGGAGAGGGGTGGGAGCTCCTCTGGGGGTTGTGTAGCACAAATGGCTCGTGTAGCACAGATGGCTCGCATCCCCATTCTCTTCCTGCCTGGGCAACCAGTAGGCCACTGAGTGCTCCTGGACAGAGCTCAATCCATCAGCCATGCTAGGCCACTGTGTGGCCCATGAGGCCCTTGACTCCTGGCCTTGTCCCCATCGCTTCTTCCGTCACAGGGCACCCTTGTGGTTTCTTTAACTGCAGACTCCATTTGGATGCCCAGCCCTGATACTCCACCCACAGGAAGGAGCCTGTATGCTCCTGCCTGAGCCTTTGGACTGTCCAGTACCCGGCCTGGAACAGGCTTCTCTTCACTGCCCACGATTCAAGACTGGTCAGGTGAGCAGAAGTGAGCCTTTATAGAGGAAAAGGAGACAGGAGTGTTGGAGGGCAAAGGTGATCGACTACCCTCTGTAAGTAGCAGGAGTTGAAGGAACACAGGTTGAGGATGCTGTCAGATGCAGAGCAGGGATGGGCCCACAGCAGGGCTTGGGAGCGCCTGCTCGTCCTGGAATCAGGCTGGCTGGTGAAGTGACAGCAATACGGGGAGCTTCCCACGGAAGGAGGAGATGCTGCAGACGGAATTTACCTTGTTCTGTTTCTAGTACCATCCCTGCTGGAGCCAGTGAGAAGCTGGCAGGGGGTAGTGTGTGTAGTGTGGTGTGGGGGTCCCGGGTGCAGCTGTGTTGCACCGCTCACCTGGAAGCACCAGGACCCGGGGCAGCCCCAGCACTGTCTGAATCTTGGCTGTCACCCAGGACAAGACACTGCACCGCTCTGACTGGGCTTTTCGTCTATCCCTTGAGCAGGCCATAGGACGGCACGACGGTTCCCTGAGGGTTAATTCGGCAGGGTGGCCGCCACCGCCTGCCCAGAGCGGACGTCGGGACCCCCGCGGCCCGGCAACTGAGACGAAGTGTGGGAGGCCCAGCGCGTGCTAGGTCCGCGGAGGACTGGGTCGTCCTGAGGACTCCCGCGCGGTCTCAGCCGCGGCTGACGTCAATTTCCACCTCCGCTCACTGCTGCGCCACGCAGCTCGGGAAACCCCGCCCCTCCCAGGACTTTTGTCTGCGGCCGGCCGCCGTCTGGAGCGAGCCCGCTTCCGCCTTCGCCCACGTGGTAGGCTACGGCTGCATCCCCGTCGCCGTGAGTGGGGCGGGAGGCCGCGACCCCGGGTCCTCACACGCGGGCGAGAGCACCGACTCGGGAGCAAGGGCCCCTGGGAGGGGCGGGGGTAGTGGCGGGGCAGGTCGGAGATCAACCTGGGAGTCAAGGAAGTTGCGGGAAGCCCTGGGCCCTCAGGCTGGGTGGAGGCGCCGAGGTCCGGAGGAGGCCGGAGGTCCGGGGCCGGCGCCCGCACCTGCCGCGCATGGGCGTCCCCAGCCTGCAGGCCGCGCTTCTGAGAGCCTGGGGAAGGTGGACGGCGCGCCCCGGCCTGCGAGCCCGCTGGTAAACACTCGGCGCCGCCCCGCATCGCCCTCGCTACCCCCCAACCCAGCTACCTGGCGCTGCCCACGTTCTGGCCTTTCAGATCGCCCATTCCCCATGGGAGGCCGAGGTGGGGAGTCCGGGACGAGGGCTGGGCTCGAGCTGAGCACGGCCGGCCGCTCTGTCCCCCGTGCCTGATTGATGGCCGGGAAGGAGGCGCCCCCCGCGCCGGCAGCGCACCCGCCCAGGAAAGCTCCCGGGGGCTGGGTCTGGGAGGAAGCGCAGAATCCCCCTAAGAGGCTGCGCGGCGGCGAGGTCGAGGTGCAGGAGCAGCCGCGAAAGCTGCCCAAACGCAAGATCGTGCTGCTCATGGCCTACTCGGGGAAGGGCTACCACGGCATGCAGGTGAGGCTCCACAGAGGGCCTCAGAGAAGGGGCCACCCAGGAAACAAGTCGGTGGTCCAGCTGCCAAGATTTAGATTTGAGTCCAGCCGCTTTCATCAAGCTGTGCTCTGTGAGCGATCATGCCAGGTGGGATTTGGTTGGCACAGCACCCAGGCGTCGCCCACGGGTGTCAGCAGACAGATCTGCCTAGATTCCTCATTGCTAGCACGGGAGTGTGTGCGACCTCTTGGGCAGGTTGAGCTGGCCACGATTACTAGTATGAGGACCAAGGACATTCCCTTGGGGGGCGGTTGGGTGCCTTGCATGTGGGCAGAGCCTCATGAGCAAGCAGGCCCCAACCCAACCCTTTCCAGACGGGAGCCCACAAGATCAGGTAGACCTCGTTTCTTCTTGTGTGCCCCTGCAGCACTCCCTTGTTCCAGGTTCTTTTTTGGAAGGGGGCAGGGTTGAGACGGTCTATGTACCCCAGACTGGCCTTGAGCTTTCAGGGATCGTCCTCCCTCAGTCTCCCGTTTCATATTCTTTGAAATTCTTTGGGCAGGGCCCACAGGACCAAGTTTCCAGCTATAAAAAGGATACCACTGAAATAATAGTTCAGGAAGATGGTGTGTAACTCAGGTTTGAGTAATTTTTTGTCTATGAATGATATTAGTTACAAAACAGTTTGTATTTATTTTACTTTTAAAAAGTAAATTTGCACTGGGGGACTGAACCTAGGGCATTTGCCCTGAGCTACATCTGCAAACCTTTATTATTTTTTTGTCTTGAGATAAGATCTTACTAAATCACTAAATTGCCCATGATGAGCTCCAACTTGCAATTCTCCTGCCCCAGCCTCCCAGAGTTCTGGAATCACAGGTGTGCACCACCAAGCCTGGCCAGGAAACCAACTTCCTGGCAGCTGGTAGATGGTGACCATAGGTTGGAGAATGGTTTAGTCTCATTTAGCCTTAAACACTGGGCAGAGCAGACAGACTACCTCCACTGCTCTCTGGGTGACTTACCCTTTTTTGAGAGAAATTCTAAGTATGTAAGGTGTGTGCCTGTAAGCTCACTAGCTTGTTTGCCTCAATTCCTAGTTAGGGAAGAGGGGGTGGTGACCAGCTCACAGAGGGCTAATATTCCTATTTGGGAAGTGTTCATGGTTTTATACTGTGTGAAGGGACTGGACAGCTAGAAGAACCTAAAGCTGGACTTTGGGAAGGGCTTTCCCACCACTGTTGCCCCCTCAGGAAGGGCAGCAGGTGTCACTGTCACTGAGTTTCTGTTTGGTCAGGCTGAGGTTTGGGGTACAGACCTGTGGAGAAAGCCTGCCCTTCCCGGCATGCATCCATCCCAGGAGGCTGCATGGCAGGCCTCTGAGCTGAGGGTTTGGGAAAAGCCTGGATGCCAGCCCAGCCTGGTTGGCAGTTCCCCATAGGGGGCACTGGCAGGGATGGTGTTTTGGGCCAGAGGGCTCCACAGACCTGGTTCTGAGCAGGCCTGATATGGCCCATATCACCTGGCCTCTGGCTGTGGGGACTTGGCAGAAACGGGCTGGCCATTATAGTCTGGTGTTTTCTCCAGAGGAATGTGGGGTCCTCACAGTTCAAGACAATCGAAGATGACTTGGTGTCTGCCCTGGTCCGGGCAGGCTGCATCCCTGAGAATCATGGCGAGGACATGAGGAAGATGTCCTTCCAGCGCTGCGCCCGCACAGACAAGGTGGGTGGCGCCTGTTCCTAGCTTCGCAGGCACCTACCACCCGAGGGCCATGTGTCAGGCCTCTTGGGGTGCAGAGGGCAGAGGCAGGAATCAGCTGAGCCTGACTAGAATAGGATGTTTATGTGGCCAGAGGTCCAGGAGCAGGATGCTTGCTGCTGGCAGGACTGTGTTTGCCAGCACTGGCCTTCGTTAGCCTGGCTCCTGCAGGTGGCACCATAGTTGTAACCTCTGCTTAAGATCCAACCATACTAGCCCCCAGTGCAGATGAGATTGTGTGGCCACAAAGGCAAGCCACATTTGTGCTGGTTCATTTTCTAGCATCCATGTTCAAGAAGAAAGAGGAGAAATTAGTTTTCATAGTTGTTTTTTTTAACACAGTATATCCAATGTGTGCTCATTTCCACATGCACTGAGTGTGAAAACCCATGAATGGGGTATGCTTTATAGTACACACTCCTTACTCTCCGCACCCTGCCATGCTAGTCTACATGTCCGTCATGAACTCAGTTGCTGGCCATCTGGCAGTCCATGCTGAGAGGTCCCCACATCCCATTCCTGGGCCTGGGAGTGGACCACAGGGCCTGTGTGGGCAGCCCTCGCTAGAGTTGGAGTTGTGTCACCTGAGGGAAACTGCAGGGCCACAGGGCACAGGCATGTGAGCCTGTAGCACTTGGAAGCTGGGATCACAGGCATGGGCTACCATGCCCAGTCATGATGCCTATGTCTCCCAGGATGCTGGCCCATATGTACCCAGTCTGATCAGAGGCTGGCCGGGCCAGGAGTGGCAGCGAGAAGGCAAGCGGCGCCCCAAGCCCTCTTACCCAGGGGACAATCCACCAGGGCCACGGCTCAGGGCAGAGGCTGCTGTGTGTGTCTGAACCACTTTTTACTTTTTCATTTTTCCACTGGTAGCTCTGAAAGTAAACAGCATTTCAAGAGAGGGACTTGGCTTAAACATTTCATTTTACTTCTACTGTCATTAGAGATAGTTTTGTTCTCCTGTTTGCTTTCTTGCAATTAGACTCAAGGAGCTGGGCATGGTGGCACACGCCTGTAATCTCAGAGCTCGGGAGGCTGAGGCAGGAGGATCACTGTGAGTTCGAGACCACCCTGGGCTACATAGTGAGTTCTAGGTCAGTCTCAACTACATAGTGAGACACTGTCTCAAAAAACAAAAAAAAGACTCAAGGAAGCTTCCAAGACTGATGTGGGATGGGTGCATATGGCACCAGGCTGAGAAAGAAGAATGTTGAGCTAGGTTTTTATCCTCTGAGTCCTGGGGTTGAACCCAGGGCCTCACCATGACCTGTGTCCTCAGTGCACCCAATGCATTTTCAGTCTGTGCACACCTGTGTCCCCACCTCCCCACCCTGGGGCCCCTCACAGATGACACAGATGGGAGCCATCTTTGCTGCTTCAGTCCTGTTTGTGTTGCACCTTCTCTTTGGAGTTGCTGGGAGTCAGATCACATAGGGCTCTGTTTCCATCTGGTGCCCTGACCCGGCGTCTCTGTTGGGCCCAACATCCCTAATGGTCACCTGAGAGCTCTGAATTGGAGCCTGTGAGGGCTGGTGCTGCTGGCCTGGGTTGCTGGGTAGGGACCCATCTCCTTCTCTCCTGTTTCACAGGGTGTGTCCGCAGCAGGCCAGGTCGTGTCCCTGAAGGTGTGGCTGATCGAGGACCTTCTGGACAAGATCAACAGCCACCTTCCCTCCCACATCCGGATCCTGGGTGAGCCCTGCCAAGAGAGCTCAGAGAGACACAGGCCACATGTGCCTTGCTGCTGCAGGGTGTCTGGGCATGGAGGCTGAGTGGAGAAAGTCCTCCCATGTCCTCTGGGACCAGCTGAGGAGCAGATGGGGAGAAAAAGCCTCCCAGCCAAAGAGCCCAGTTTTTTTTTTTTTAATGGGCTCTTGCTGTGTAGCCCAAATTTGCCTCAAACTCTGATCCTGTCTTAGCCTCCCAAGCAGCAGGGATGGTAGGCATGCACACCACATGTCGATGATGGTTTTCTTTGTCCGATGATGGCCTTCACAGCTTGGCGCAGGCCCATCCCCTCAGAGGGCCCCTCGGCATCAGTCCTCTGAGAGCATGATCTGTGTGCAGGGGGCCAAAGGCTGCCCACAGTTAGTGTCCCTGTGTGACTGGAGTGGCTCACAGCAGGCTCATCACTGGCACTTTTCAGCTTTTCTGTAGCAGTTTGGGAGGGGCCACAGAAGTCCTCCCTGGTGTCCTGGGACTGTGGTGTTTCTGATGCTGATCTTTGACACAGGACAGGACACCCAGGGTAGACTCACCTGCACAAATAGGAGAGGGCACATAAAAGAACCCTGTGGGTCCGTGCTGTGGGGGCGTCTGCTGCTTGTCATTTACAAGGTGGGTCAGTCCTGGAAGTGAGAAGCTGCTGTGGGTGCACTCCTCGCAGGCGGAGTGGGGTGCTGCCTACCCGTCTCCTTCGGGAGTTCTGTTTGTCCCGCCCCGAGCCTCAGCAAAGTCCCAAGCCCCACTGTCAGTGGCAGTTTTTGTGGTGCTGGGTGGAAAGCCAGGGTCTTGTGCATGCCCAGCAGGGCTCCACTGAGTAGCACCCCAGCCCTGTAGTTCCTACCTGAATATTCTAGCAGTCTGTGCAGACAGACACAATAGATGGGTCTCTTGGATACAAGTCTTCCTTCTGTCCTTTTTCTTTTTTTTGGTGGCTATGAGGATTGCACTCAGGAACTTGTCTTTGCTAAGCAAGTACTGCACCACTGAGTTACATTCCCAGCCTTTTTTTTTCTTCTGTGATAAGGTCTTGCTGAGTTGCCCAGGCTGGCCTCAAACAAGTCCTCTTGCTTCAGCCTCCAGAGTTTGAGTGTGCCATAGGCAGCCCAGTCAGTGCCTCTTGTGCTGGGGGCTCTGGGCTCCCTTTCTGGCTGCGGTTCCTGCCCCTGCTCTGTTGGGATCATCTGGTTGGCTCTCTTCAGGGGCTCTCAGCTTGTGTCTGAGTTTTGCTGCTGTGAGAAACTGTGCTGCCCTGGGTCTCACCATGCTTCCCCAAGGCTTGGGACTGTGGGCATGGTGAAGGCTGCCTGGTCCACACCTGAGGCTGTGGTGTGGCGGGTTTATTTCTGCACGTCCTGCCAACTCCAGTCTTGGCCAGAGCCCGGGTTTCACTCTGGGTCTGGCCTTCTGTGGGTCCAGGGCTCCAGGAACACTAGTGAGTGGTGCCGCCTCCACAGTGCCCCAGGTTCTGCTCACCTGCACGTCTCCTCCATCCCCAGGGCTGAAGAGGGTCACAGGCGGCTTCAACTCCAAGAACAAATGTGATGCCAGGACCTACTTCTACATGCTGCCCACCTTTGCCTTTGCCCACAAGGACCGGGACGTGCAGGATGAGACATACCGCCTGAGCGCCGAGACGCTGCAGCAGGTCAACCGGCTGCTGGCCTGCTACAAGGGCACCCACAACTTCCACAACTTCACCTCACAGAAGGGGCCGCATGAGCCCAGTGCACGGCGCTACGTGCTGGAGATGTACTGCGAGCCACCCTTTGAGCGCGAGGGCCTGGAGTTTGCCGTGATCAAGGTGAAAGGCCAGAGTTTCATGATGCACCAGATCCGCAAAATGGTGGGGCTGGTGGTGGCCATCGTGAAGGGCTATGCCCCTGAGAGTGTGCTGGAGCGCAGCTGGGGGGAGGAGAAGGTGGATGTGCCCAAGGCGCCAGGGCTCGGCCTGGTGCTGGAGCGGGTGCACTTCGAGAAGTACAACCAGCGCTTCGGTGGTGATGGGCTGCATGAACCCCTGGACTGGGCACAGGAGGAAGCCAAGGTGGTGGCCTTCAAGGAGCAGCACATCTATCCCACCATCGTCAGCACCGAGCGGCGTGAGCGCTCCATGGCCCAGTGGCTCAGCACCCTGCCCATCCACAACTTCAGTGCCACTGCAATTGCCATGGGCTCAGGCACTCAGGTAGGGGCTGAGTCTCGGTGCTGACCATGGGGGTGGGGTCTACTCAGTGGGAGGGGCCTGGCACCTGCTCCATTGCCCTTATTTTTTGGTTCTGATTTTCTTGAACTGAGGCTGAGCTTGAACTCATGGTGAGCCTTCTGCCTTTAGCCTCCTCAGTGCTGGGATCACAGGCCTGCACTGCCATACCCGGCTGGATTGCCCAATATCTTATAGAATGAGAAGGGCCCGGACTTGGGCCATGACCTGGAGGTATGGTGATGACTCCTGGCAGCACCCCCAGAAGGGGCAATGCTGGCCCTACAGTTCCTCCTGTTTCCTTGTCCTGCAGGCCCCTAGCCCAGTGGATGGCAGAGACGGGGACAAAGACTGAGCCATGGGGCTACACATGCCTCTTAACCCCAGAGCCAAGGACTCTGGGCCTGCCTATCGGCCGGCTGCACAACCTCAGGACCGCGCCATCATAGCACACCTTGCCTTACTGTTGGTGCATCTGTGCGTGCCCCTTGGTAGGTACGCACTATTTTTTTAAAAAAGAGATTTTTTTTGTTTTGTTTTTTTTGAGACAGGGTCTCATTGTTTAGCTCAGGCTGGCCTTGAACTTGTGGCGATCCTCCTGCCTCAGCCTCCTGAGTGCCGAGATTTTCTTATTAAATAAATATGTTTACCTAGCAATTCTCTTTCCTCTTTTGTGTTTTTTGTCAAGAGACTGGAATACTGCAGAGCGGGGAAGACAGGGCAGGCTCAAGGAGCAGGTGGGTGGTGGTGGCTGAGGTTTTTGGGGTGCGTGCTGCCTCCCAATCCCTTCCTGTGGACCCTAGGCTCAGGCTGTGCCTCTGCCCGACCCCATGCCCCCACCTGCCTCTGCACCAATGCACGGATCCTGCCTTACATCCTCTTAGTCCCTGCCACCTTTTCTCAGCACCTAGGTGCCTTTCGTTCGCTCTGAAGTTTATGCCGCATATGCTTGCTTCCCTTGGCCTGCGCTGCTCTTTTAAACAATACCTTTTTAATTTCACATTTTTTTCTTTTTTTGGAGACTTGTTTTTGCTGTATTGCCCAGCTAAGCTGATTTCCTGCTTCATTCTCTGGCGCAGCTGGGACAATAAATCTGCTTCCATGCTTGTGAACAACATTCGGTCTGGTTTTGTAATTTTTTTTTTGAGACAGGGTCTCGCTATGTAGCCCAGGCTGGCTTCAAACTCAAGGCAGTCTTCTTGCCTCAGCCTCCTGAGTGCTGGGATTATAGGCATGTGCCACCATGCCTGGCTGCCCTTCTTTTTTAAACTGAATTATTTTAAAAATTTCAGATACAACTTTTACATATAGCATAAAATTCATACTTTAGACAGGTGTCACTAGTCCAGGCTGGCCTCAAATTCCTGGCAATACTGCCTCAGACTCCTTAATGCTGGTATTACAGATGTGCATGACCACACTGGGCTTTAATAAAAGTCACATTTTTAAAGTGTGAAATTCAGTAGCTGGGCCTCCTGTAATTCCAGGAGTTTGGAAGGTTGAGGCAGAAGGACCCTAAGTTTCAGCCCAGCCTGGGTAACTTAGCAAGACCCTGTCTAAAAAAAAATTAACAAGGACCCCAGTTCAATCCCTGATATGAAAAATTAAAAATTAAAAAAATAAGCCAAGGGCCAGGAATTTAGCTCAGTGGTTCCGCGGCCTGCCTCGGAAGTGCATGGTCCGGAGTTCGATCCCTGGTACCAAAAAACCAAAATCAAACACAAAATAAACCAAGGACTGGGGATGTAGCTCTGTGCAAAGGCCCTGGATTCAAGCCGCAGTACCGCAAGAAGGAGTGTACAATTCAGTGGCTTTTGGTGAACTCACGAAAACTCTGAAAACGAAAACATCACACCACCTCCACTTGCAGGCACCCCTGGGCCCCCAGCCTGTAAATCTGCCTTTGAAGCTCGTGGCAGTCTGTGCATGGCTCTCTCCTCAGAGCCACTCTCCAGGGTTGTCCACATGGTGGTGTTGTCAAGGTTTGCCCCGGACTGAGTAGTACTCCGCTGTAGGGTCCGAGGTGCTCGGAACTTCCACTCTCCTGGGCGGGTGTCGGTTTTCACCTGTGGTCCTGGGGACGCGCCGCCGAGACCTTGTCGGACACGAGGAAGCGGTGGCCGCCGATCCGCCAGGCTGTCAACCCCAGACTCTCGCTCAGCGCTGCGCAGTGTGGCCTCCAGGCTGCTAAC